GCCTCTCTGAAGAACCAGCACCTTACCGTGGTGGAGAGGTTTGTATGCCCTGATGAACCTGGGGGCTGTGTTGTCTGGAACCTTGTGTTCCTGGTAGGGTCTCCCATGGCAAAGTGGTCTCAGGCAAGGGGCCAGACTAAGATTGGTTCAAAGACCTCATGAAAGAAGACACACGAAGTGAGGATACACGGCCCGGAGGAAGCTCACAAGTCCCCGGTTGGGTGCTTCTTTGTTGGAGTTTACCCCAGTGGACGAGAGGGTCGCCTCCCTACGCCTGCGGGTTATGGGGGGGGAAAACTCTGACTGTTGTGTGTGCTTATGCACCAAACAGCAGTTCAGAGTATTCGGCCTTCTTGGAGACCCTGGAAAGAGTCCTGTATGGGGCGTGATTGGGAGGAACGGCCTCCCTGATCTGAACCGGAGTGGTGGTTTGTTACTGGACTTCTGTGCTAGTCATGGATTGGCCATAACAAACACCATGTTCGAACATAAGGATGCTCATAAGTGTACGTGGTACCAGAGCACCCTAGGCAGAAGGTCCATGATCGATTTCGTTATCGTATCATTAGACCTGAGGCCGTATGTTTTGGACACCCGGGTAAAGAGAGGGGCGGAGTTGTCAACTGATCACCATCTGGTGGTGAGTTGGGTCGAGTGGCGGGGGAAGCCTCTGGACGGACCTGGTAAGCCCAAACGTGTAGTGCGGGTGAACTGGGAACGTCTGGAGGAGGCCCAAGTTCAGGAGGCCTTCAACTCACACCTCCTGCGGAGCTTTTCGGGCATCCCTGTGGAGGCTGGGGACATTGAACCAGAGTGGGCGGTGTTCAAAGCCTCTATTGCCGAAGCTGCGGCGGGGAGCTCTGTGGTCTCAAGGTCTTAGGTGCCTCAAGGGGCGGTAACTCGAACCTCCTGGTGGACACTGGTGGTCAGGGAAGCCGTCCGACTGAAGAAGGAGGCCTTCAGGGATATGTTATCACGGGGGAGTCCCGAGGCAGTTGCAAGGTACCGACAGGCCCGAAGGTCAGCAGCCTCAGCCGTGGCCGAGGCAAAGCAGCAGGTGTGGGAGAAGTTCGGAGAAGCCATGGAAAAGGACTTTCGGGCAGCACCAAAGTTGTTCTGGAAAACTGTCCGACACCTCAGGAGGGGGAAGCAGGGAACCATCCAAGCTGTGTACAGGTAGGGTAGGTAAGTTTGAGAAACCGGCTTGAGATCGCTAGAATTTGAAAATACACAACCGGAGAAAATCTGCCACTTCCTTATAGAGCCCCTCCTCCAACACACACGAACGCGCACATGACCAATGAGGGCACGAGATAAGTTTGTGCACAGATGGAAGGCTGACAGGCAGGTAGGCCATCCAGTTATTTTAGCCGGGCCGGCTAAAATGATTGGTCGTACTTTTTACAGTATTACGGCTTCCACAGATGACTTTTTTATGGATTTTTTGTCAAAGCACTTAAAGGAGAGGTGTCATGGCCATTTCCACTGATCATAATTCCATTGTTGAGGTATACTAAAATAGATTTATACTGTGCATTTTTCCAAACTCACATTGGTTTCTCATACAGCATCTCTGTAAACTACTTGTATTCACTGAATTTCACTCTCTGCCTTTAACGGCTCGTTGTAGCTCCAAAAACTCCAGCCCCCACCCTCCCTGTGAGCACAGTGTGCTCTGATTGGTCGGGACGTTGTGAATCGCGCTGAGCTCCGTGGAGGTGTTGCTTCCTTGTTTAGGATACATAGCGAAACACAGCCAAACTCATCCTGAGCACACACAAACTCACATCCGAAGTAAAAACAATAAGTGTGGCTTGATATTGAGTAAGAAAAAGGTTGATAAACGCTGTGAGAATGGGTCTGCAGAGAGAATTTTGCCGCGATCCCAACTGTCTGTTATCAGCCTGCAGCCAGGGAGGAGAAATCAGCTGAGCTGCCTGCTCCCTGCACACAGATGTGTGTGTGAGGAAGTCCGTGGATCGGTCAATTTGGACCAATCAGCGGGGGCTTAACGTAACAGCTCCGCGGACGTAACGTAACGGCTCTTCGGGATTGGTCCATTTCGTTCCGGGTACCGCTTGACATCATGCCGTACCCGGAACGAAATGGAAGACTCAAATGGCCAGTGACGTATCTCCAACGAGGCGTTTTGGGGAGGTATTTTCTGTGTTAGAGTTTTACTCGCTACAGGGTGTACTTTGAGGGTTTTGACTCTGCACACCGTTTACATGCATAAAAACCTTCATAACACACAAGGGGACGGGTAATAACCGGAAAAGCATGACATGGGAGCTTTAAGATATTCATTGCTATCGGGATGTTAAGAGCATTCCATGGAATATAACAAAAAGTGTATCTCCAGCCGGTTTCTCAAACTTACCTACCCCACCTTTAATGTATTCATTGCTATCAGGATGTTAAGAGCATTCCATGGAATATAACAAAAAGTGTATCTCGAACTTATCTACCCTACCTTTAACTGATTAAACCGTTTTAATTGAAATGTCGTCTGGCAGATGCTGGTCGGGTCCTCGGCTCCGCCTTGAAAAGATAGGGGAGTTACCGAGAGTGCCAAAAGTGTTTGCTGGTGTAGAATGACAGCGGTTGAGAGTAATCAGAGTTCAAATAATATGTGAGGGTGTGGAAATCATAACGTTAAGTGGCATTTATTGTACCAGTGCTGACTGTGTTTAGTTGGGTTTGTATGTGTGTTATTCTGTTCAGTTATATGTTTGTGTTTGAAAAGTGTTCCCCCTCCCGTTTTGTCTGTTGCTCCTGATTATGTTCACCTGGTGCCCTGTGTTGTCTCCTCCCCCCTCACCTGTGTCTTGTTGGCTTGATTGCACATGTGGGTATTTGGGCTCTGTGTTTCCTCTTTGTAAGGGGTGTGAGATCCTTGTGGCTGATGACTGTGTTCACATGAGACAGTAAGATTGAGGCTGTGTCATGTACCACAAGGAGTAATAAATGCCCACACCGGGTTATATTTGAACTCTCTGCCTCTGCCTCCTTGCTTGGTCGGGTCGCTCAACGGTCAGTCTCACACTCCCGTTTAGCATTATGAGTGTCATAGCCTGTTACGGCCATCGTCTCCCTGGTTCTATTACTCTGTCTGTGTGTATGCAAATGAGCTGTGAGGTTGCCTGGATGTCATTGGCTGTCCCGCCCTCGCTTCCGGAGAGGTGATTGGATCGACGTCCTCCAATCCCTGCACACATCCGGCGCACAACTTCCGGGGGAGGACTACAAAAGGCTGTGGACTGTGAACATTCGGGAGGGTCTGCTGTGCGAACAGACGCCTCATGCTATTTGCTCATGTTAGACTGTTCTGTTAACTGTGGTTAACTTGTGTGATTCGGTGTTAGTATTGTGTTCAGAATAGCTTAGATCCACGTTGGCTGTTTGTTCGTTGACATAGCGGTGTTTATTAAACCGCCTCCTTTTGTTAATTTGTACTCCTTAACAGTGAGGATTGTCCTGTTACCTTTTGTTTAGCACTTACTTCTTTGTATTTAACAAAGCTCCTTTTGTTGGTACTTTATTTATTCTGCGCCCTTTTTGGCCGTTGTTTGTGCCAGGCTGCCTGTCCTATTATTTTGATACCATAATTATAAATAAACGCTTGTAATTATACAAATTCCATACTGGTGTGTGTTGCATTTCCTCATCCCTAGTGAGGACGTAACCTAGCCATAGACTATAAAAATCTTAACCAAGGCTGAATCATAAACTAAACTGTGTGTGTGTATGTATATATATATATATATATATATATATATATATATATATATATATATATATATATATATATATATATATATATATATATCAAGTACAGTAACTACAACTAGCTAACGTTGTAGCCTAGCAGAGTGGACAAGTTGCTGACAGTGAGGCACGTACCTGTCCATCAAAGTGACCACGCCCTAATTTATGCAAAAACGTTAAGACCTAATATAAATAAAAGGGTCGCGTTATAAAACAATTCACTCACCAATTCATAATCATGAAGGTGGAATCTAACTATATCCCGAATAATTTGTATTGCATCCAGGGGCAGAAACATGTTTATTTCTGCTGTAAATTTGGGCATTTTAACATGGGGGTCTATGGAAATTGATCCTTTCTGCAGTCATCGCCAATCGGCCAATAGATGAACTGCAGTTTGTGGCACTTCCTTATTGGCCTCCCGGCTCTGCCCCAGAGTTTGCCGCTTGGTATTGACACAGCAACGTGTACACTGGTGTTATTAGACTTGGCTACAGACTTAGGGCAGCTGTAACTGACTGCAATTGCTACTGCTAGTGAGATGCCATGGTTTATACTTTATAAATGAGGTAAAGGACAGTTATATTTTATTGTATAAATGTGTTATTTTATATGTAGGCATATGTACTTAATTTGTATCATTTTCGTTGTTAATAAACAGATGAATGTCATTGTATCTGTTTTGTTGTTTTATATTTTAATTCTGATTAAACATTTTTATTCCAATTATTTAAATGATAAAATCCATTAATAGGGGATACTCATAATTGTATATTGGCTATACTCTCTTACAGTTTGCCTAATCTATCATGAACGAGCTGAGAACCAAAATGCAACACATGGGAGACCAGGGAAAGCCGGCCCGGCTAAAATAACTGGATGGCCTACCTGCCTGTCAGCCTTCCATCTGTGCACAAACTTATCTCATGCCCTCATTGGTCATGTGCACGTTCATGTGTGTTGGAGGAGGGGCTCTGTAAGGAAGTGGCAGATTTTTTCCGGCTGTGTATTTTCATATTCTACACTGTTAGCCCGGAGTTCATATCTAATTAAATAATGAATTACAAATTACTGACATTATTTAAGTTTGATTGCATTACTATCAAATGTAAGCATATACTACTTGCTGACTACCAAATGTAAGCATATAATACTGACATGTGTTAGTTAAGCAATGTGTCAATCATTTTAAGTTAAGTAGCTTTACATGATCAAGTTTTAGTCATGTTCACAATGCATGATGGGAAAGATTAGGATCTTTTAATGTGCCGCGGCCACGTTTTTCTCAATTGCAATTTCTCAGTCGGCAACCCCACTTGAACGCCGGACTTGCACCTGACTCTACTGAATCTGGTGAGTGCCATTTAGCCAGAGCCATATAATAGATATATAATATAATTCTATCTATATGGCGCTGCATTTAGCTAACACGGCTTGGTTGAATTCTCGTACTTTTGGGTGTCACAGCCACAGGAAGTATCAACTGGCGGGAACACGGTGTGGGCTTCTCTCGCATTGTTTAAGTACTTGTTAGAGGAAAATAAAATGTTAACAGACTTTGACAGTTACAGGTAAACTCGATCAATGCTGCCGTTTATTTTCTGAATTACAATTCCATTCGTTGGTGCGGCGTGGAACGGACTTTTTATTTTGGCGGAAGCATTACGATCATTTTTAAGTCAATGAAATCATTTAAAAATCGATATTATGAATAATTTGTTTGTTTTTTTAGTATGTAGCCGTGTAATAAGTGGTATAATGTGCTGCTAGGTGGTCATTAGGCGGGGAACAATCCCCACAGTGTGATCATGGAGCCCGCGGAGGGATCTAGATTTGAATAGCGACCATTAAGTTTTCAGTTGATTTACGTCACTTAACTGCAGCACTTCTACGCTACTGCAGTCAGGCAATGTGTGTTTCCCTCGCTTTTGTTAACTTTTACTGAGCGATAGTAGGCTATGGTGCAGATAGATTTAAACAGATAGTGCTTTTTCACTTGTTCGTGTGCACTGAAAGACGTAGATTTTTTTTTTTTCACCCAGTTGCTGTTTTTGTCACCTTTCTTTTAGTCGTGTGAGTCGGACACCACCCCACCGCTAGACGCTAGAACCCTGCCACGGGCTGTCTAGGGAGAGGAGGGTGGCGCTTGGACGGCTGCTTTGTGCTACATCTGGTGAGACGCCATTTAGCTAACATTAGCGACCACATTACGTTTTCAGATGTTGTTGATTAACGTCCCTTAAAGGTGGGGTATGTCATTTATTTCAGAAACACTTATTGTTATATTCCATGGAATGCTCTTAACATCCCGATAGCAATGCATATGAAATGCGTTGACAATAAATACATACAAAATGTTCATCTGTGGAAGCCGTATCGCTGTAAAAAGCACGACCAATCATTTTAGCCGGCCCGGCTAAAATAGCTGGATGGCCTGAGAGGGGTCTGCCTGCAGGCCTCCACTTTCAGGACACCTCCACTCTCACGGAGGTGATGAGTCCGCTCACCATGCACTTTGGGTCGGCCTTGGTCAAGCCCTTTTAAACCCCCCATCCTGGTTCTCGTAAAAGTTGACTTAGCCATTTTTCGCTCAAATTACACCATGGAGGAATGTAACGGGAGTTGACAGGGGACTCTGCCCGCCTCACGAGTGCCTATTTTCACTTTTCCCCGGTTTTATTAATTTTTTAATTTTTTGGCTATTTCACCCGGTTCCTTCTAACGGGGACATAGCCCGGTCTCGGGTGTCCCCCCACAGCCTGTGTCAAGCCGCCGCCGCCCCCCCCACTCCCCCCCCACTCATCCATATATTAACTGATTTTGACAATTCTTGTTGCATTTTTCTCCTCTTACTGATCGAATGGCAAACACGACCCACCATCGGAGGTCATCCACCGGCCCGGCCTAGTGCCGGTGCTATGGCGGTCGGTTCCTCCGAACTGCGGGTTCGACTCTGATGGCCGGGAGGGTGTGCTGCGTTGGGGTGGGGGACTTCCCCCACTCTGCGTGTCTCTTCCTTCCCGGGCCGGCCGATATGAAGCGTGACCAAGACGCACCGTCTGACTCGGGGGTCCCACCACGGGTCCCGCAGCGGGGTGGAGGTTCCCGGCTGGAACCTCCCCACCTCCGCCGCGGTGCACCCGGCAAACACGGTTGTTTCTCGAACCCTCCACTGTTGTCTAGCGGGTGTAACAAAAATACAAGATGTCGTTATTTATATATATATATATAATAAGTGTCAGTGCGATTTTATTTTGTATTAGCGTGCAAAATGTCCTGTTCGGAAAGTGTTGCTGTACTGAGAGTAAACAATACAAGGTGTCCCTATTTTTATATATACATATATACATGTAATAAGTGTCAGTACTGCGTCGGGTCGATGATCGTGTTGCTTTTAATCATACGAAGCCAGATTAAATTAAATAACGACTTCTCCAACCTTATACTTTTCTCCAGAGTGCCGTGGTTCATTGTTTATTAATGTGTTTCAGTGTTTCACCCCCTGCATTTTTTTCACTTGGGGGGATTGTTTAGTGTGCACCGAAACACGTTGTTTTTAGTCAGTTTTAATGCTTTTTTTGTTTTCACCCAGGAGCTGTTGTCGGCTTTCTTGGTCGTGTGAATCGGACACCACCCCACATTCAAAGCTGGACTAGAACCCTGCCCCTGTCTCAAGCTTCCAACGGAGGGAGAGGAGGGTGATGCTGTTGCATTTTGTTGTTGTTGTTGCATGTTTGCACTGTTTGACCTATTAAGCTTGTTAGCATTTCCATTTGTGTTTTATTCTATAAACTACTGACAACATCTCTCCCAAACTCCAAACAAAACAAAGAAGTCATTTAGAGCATTTATTTGCAGAAAATTACAACTGGTCAGAATAACAGAGAAAATGCTGTGTTTTCAAACCTCAAATAATGCAAATAAAACAAGTTCCTATTCATTATTAAACAACACAATGCTAATGTTTGAACTTAGGGAGAGTTCAGAAATCAATATTTGGTGGAATAACCCAGATTGTTCAATAACAGCTTTCAATGCGTCTTGGTTGCTCGCCACCAGTCTGTCACATTGTTGCTGGGTGACTTTATGTCTCTCCTGGCACACAAACTCAAGCAGCTCGGCTTTCTTTGATGGCTTGTGACCATCCATCTTCCTCTGGATTCCACATCCAGAGGTTTTCAGTGGGGTTCCAACTGTTCCATGACAGGGTCTTGATCTGGTCTTCCTCCATTCACACCTGAATTGAGCTGAGGGTGGGTTTATCCAGCAGGACAATGCTCCATGCCCCACAGCCAGGTCAATCCAGATGTGATCCAGAGGAATATGAATGGTCACAAGCCATCACACAAAGCCGAGCTGCTTGAGTTTTTGTGCCAGGAGTGGCTTAATAAGTGACCCAACAGCAATGTGAAAGGTGGTGCAGAGCAGCCAAGACGCATGAAAGCTGTGATTGAAAATCTGGGTTATTCCACCAATTATTGATTCCTGAGCTCTTCCTATGTTAAAACATTAGTATTGTGTTGTTGAAAAATGAATTTTAAATTGTTTTCTTTGCACTATTCGAGGTCTGCAAACATTCCATCTTTTTTGGTTACTTTGAACATTTGGTATTTTTTGTAAATAAACGCTCTAAATGAGAATATTTGGAGTTTGGGATAAATGTTGTCAGTCATTAATTTATAGAATAAAACACAAATGTTAATCCAGTTTTTTTTTTTTTAAACGAGAGAAACTGATCATTTTACAGAGGTCTCTTAATTTTTACAGAGCTCTACATATATATATATATATATATATATATATATATATATATATATATATATAGAAAAATTGCTATACTTTCATGTTTCAATGTTCTCAGGAAAATGTATGGTACAATATTTGTCAGTTTGTATAGGAAGCTAAATTTCATTGTATCCAAATGAAACACTCAAGTTTTAATAAAAGGTAAAACTTTATTTTTGTGTCTTTTTCTTTTTTGTAGTTGAATAAAAAATATAAATACGAAATGTAACCACTTTCAACTAAAAATTCTAAGTTAAATAATTGGGCAAAGCAATTGATATTACACTATTTTAAGTAAAATCAACTTCACATGAAGTGCATTGTACTTCAAATAACAATTCCAGTCCTTGAATAATTTAAGTTAAATTCACTCAAGTTTTCCAAATGCGTTACTTAAAAAAATAGAAAGTGGTTGACTTAAAAATGTAAGTAAAATCAACTTGACATGAAGTGGATTGTACTTCAAATAACAATTCAAGTCCTTGATAAATGTAAGTTTAATTGACTCAAGTTTTCATAATGCTTTACTTTAATTATTGAGGGCAACCACTTTCCTCTATTTTTTTAAGTTGATTCAACTTATCCGGGCTTACAGTGTAGCGCACTCGAGCTGGTTTCTCCAAAATTACCTTCCCCACCTTTAACCTAAAGATGTTGGAGTTTTATTTAGTTTGTAACATGGCACAGGCCAAGTATTAATATTCTGAAGCTACACTGGACAATTAGGAGGTCTAAAATTAATTTAGAAAACATTACTATTAGAAATAATAAGCACACCATTTATAATTTACAGAGATAAGAAAAGACATACATGTGGTTTAAACAGAAAATTAAGATGAAGAGAATGTGAGATTTAAAGCGAAAAGTGTAAATGAAAGAGCATGTGTTTGACATGTGAAAGTATGAAATGGTACTAGAATATCTTATGAACAATCAAAGGGCTGTAACTCAATCTTAAATTAACCATACTTGCAGAACACCCCAGACTGCAGAACTAAATGGTCCCAGGAGGGAGTTTTTAGCTAAAGACAGCATTAGGGTGCCTCCTGATGAGTTTAAAGATAGAAACCAAATATCAGCAGGTTTTGAATTAATATTCCTCTGTCCCACAATCAACAAGAATATGGATGGGGTGAACTATATCTACTATAACCAGCAGAGATTCATAAATTACACCAGAGACGCAGTAAAAAGAAAAATAGACGTAGATTAGATTCACACCTCAAAAGGTGTGAAAGGAGGGATTTGTGGAGTCTATTTGTATATAACATTACAAGACTGATTCTTATTATTACATTATATGCTTATTTGTGCTCATGAAATGCTATGACTTTGGAATAAATAGACAAAATCACCAATCCCAAGATTTGATGGGTTGGATAGGAAACGAAGGGAAAAGTCACAGAAGAAAGTTTTAGCTTGCAATAGAAAGTAGCAAGGTCAGGGGCAGACACTGTAAGAGGACAATGAGTTAGAACAGAACATCGCTCCGGCCTTCAGATTTGGGTGAGCTTCGCTCCCACGCATAGCTGGGAATCAGTATAATGAAGGATTCCACTTTTCCTGTAGAAACTTTAGCAAAAACAAATTACGTAGGATAGCGTGACTAGAGTAGGGAGGAACCTTCACAGGCTGGCCGAATGCTGATTGGAAGATCGTGTTGCCAAGAGACTTTTGTCTAAGTCTGTGCACCTAGAGAGACCAAAGTCTAAACCACGGTTACTTTCCATCTAGTCTTAACCAATCATAAATGTATGGGCATAGCCCTGTGTAATAAAATGTATTGACCCACGAGGTTCAGGGCTCTTTACGGAAATAGTGGTTACAGATAACAGCTTTGCTGCCTGTGATTTCTGTGACGTGACGAGTCCTTGTCCAAGTGAATATATCTTTTGCTCTCTTATAATAAATAGTTAAACTTAGAAGTTGTTTGTCTTTCCTGGAATTAAAGAACACAACAGTTGGCAGGACCGTCCTCATCTGCGACAACTTCCGGTAGCAGAATATGAAAAACGGGGGTTTTGTCGTTTCTGTTTACTAGTGGTTTTATTTTTTGTTTTGAGTAGTAGAAAATGAAAATCATCCCGTTTTTTAAGTTCAGTAAATCCCTTTTAGACCATGATAAAGAAAAACGCCTTGTATTTCAATTTTAAAACGAAAATTAAATATCCACTCGTTTTGTTTTTGAATATCCTTTTGTGAAAAGAAAATCCAAAGACCAAAACACACTGACCCATTTAGATAACGTTCTTTCATTCACGACAAATGCACCACAAACCTACATACTAAATGTTCATTGCATAAAGGTGATTCTCATCTTAAGGTTACTGTCAGGAGCTTTTATCACAGTGAGTGTCAAGGATACATTAATATGTATTTAATTTTTCATAGTTGAATTACGTTAACAATTACTTTATATAAGCTATAATTTTTTTGTTAATAAAAGACAAATGTATTTAATAGGGAACCTTTTGAATGAACAATTATGTGTCATAACAAGTCAAATCGAAACTGACAAGACAAAATCAAAAATGGCTAGTGCTTTTTTAATGTTAACAGTATTCTTTGATTATATACAATAATATACATCTATTTAATAAAGTAGAGGAACTCATTGTGAAACACATTTTGTGCCGTAAATTGCTTCCACATTTCCCATGGTGCGTAGTGGCATTTTCGCACATGCGCAGACTGATCGGGTAACCTGACAGATCGGGTAGTGACAGACCCACCCCCTTTATCTAGGGAACTGTGCCATTTGTTGTCGTGTGACCATAAATCCTAGAAAAATCAATCAGACCAATGGCAAAAGATAAAAATGTGGACAGGTCAAACCTGGGTAGATATGTAAAAAGGATGCAGGAACAGGAAGTAAAAACATTAGGGTACAGTGGAACAGCAGAGGCAAAGAGGGTCTTAGATGGAGAAGGAGCTCGCAGGCCATATTAAAAAAACTGTGCAGACAACAAAGCTGGCAGAGAAAGGAAAGAATGCATGCCATACCATCTGCAGTCTGTGTGACTTCTGGATTCAGGTCCACTGGGGTTTTCCCTTACAACAGAGATCTTTTCTCTGATGCAGAGTTTGAGCCATCAATGGTATCAGACAGGCCAATCCCTGAGATACAGTCTGCCGCTGCAGATGATCCACCCTCCTCCATCACTGCTGAGATGCCTTCATCTTGCCCCACAGATGGATGTGTTTCACCAATGAAAACACAGATTTAGATTGCAACAATTTGTTGGTTTGTTCATATTGTTTAAGTGACTCTTAAGAAAACACAAAAGACTAGTCAATTGGTAAATGTACCCCCAGATGGATCAATTTACTGCCTGACGCGGATCAACTCACCCCTTAGATGGGGCAAGCCACATGACCATTTCTTTTTGAGAAGTCATATTTGAATGGCCCTTTGTTATAGATGCGTTATTATAATTTTTATTGGAAGAAGACATCCTTAAATAAAAGTTGTTGTTTTCATTTGACTCCTATCTCATTTTTCCTTGCCTAGAGGACAATATACTGTATGTAAAAATTGGCTCATTTTACCCCACTCTCCCCTACTGTATACAAAGACAGCTGTACTTCTACCACAGCTACAAAAGCCGCGTTCACACCAAGTACTTTCCTGTACTTAGTTCCGGCACTCAGAGCCCCGGCGCTTTTAACCCCAGGGCACTTAGTACAGATCGCGTTCACACCGGAGTACTTTTCCCTGAGGGAAGATTACGCAAATGAGCCGCTGACGTCACTTCTTCTTCTGCTTTGGCTTTACTGGCAGGCCACAAACCACTTCACGGCGAGTACAGTAGGTGGCGGTAAGCACCTTAAAGTTGTTTGCAATCCGCTACAAAACAAGAGAAGAAGAAGAAGAAAAACTTCCCGCGTATACTGGGTGTTTCTCAATCGCGAGTACGCTTGCTTGGTAGCACATGTCTGCCGAGCATCTTGCTTCAGAAGCGAGTCAAGAATACTTCCTGGCATTTGGAAAACGAAGTGTGGAACACGCTAGCAAGTGTGCAGGTGTGCGTCATATGAGAGGCCCCGCCTTACATCTTCCGCCACAGATTTGGGGAAATTGGTCCGTGCGCAAAGCATTGTGGGGATTTTAAGACCGCGAAGTCTACTCATGTGC